TGGTGGGACGCAGCCTCCCATAGGTTTCCCCGTAGGCCTCTCTGGGCGGTGATCTCGACCCTACCGGACCGACCCACCCCAGCGCGGAGGCACACGGCGTTGAGGCAAATGCCGGCTGCAGTGGGCTGCTTGCTTCGTAAGTTCCAAAAGGGCTTAGGCTGGTCCGCCCACGGGGGTGTGCCGCTGGCGTGGGTCGTGTGTATGTTGCCTGCGGATGGGTTCACTTTAGGCGCAAAGCCTGCTCAGGGCCACAAAACTAGGGCGCGGTGGCGTAGCGGCTGGGCGATTTTCATTGGGCGGGGCCGGGTCGCGTTGTCTCGGTCGTGTGGCCTTGGTCTAGCGGTGTTGCTCTTTTTATGTTTAGATCCACTAGAGCAGTCAGGCGCACTTCTCTCTGGGCGCGGGCAGCTGTTTGCTGGGGTTGGGGGTGGGTTTTCGCCAGAATGCATGTAAGAGGCGTGGAGGGTGGCTTTGTTTCGCTGATCTAATGCCCACATTGGGTTGCGCTTTTCTTCCCGGGAGCAAAAGCCTCGCTGGCTCGACGGTTGGCGCAGGCGTGAAAGCGGGATTTGCTACGATGGTACTTTAATGATTTTAAGGGGCATGGGGTCGAAACCTACGGGGGCAGGCCGCTTCGTTCGGGCGTTTTGCTTCTCGCGTCTCTTATTGGGTTGGGGCGTCAGAGGCTGCCAGGGGCTGACTGATTGGCGGAGCGGGCTTTGCTGGTTTGTGTGGGTTTGCTTGGCAGTCCGTGCTTGCCTTGCCCTAGGCTTTTGCGTCTGGATTCGTTCTGGGATGGGGATCTTTGGTGGCTCCGCTCCTCCTTGTCGTGGATGCTGTAGGCATCCGGGCAGGCTTGTTTGCGCGCCATGCTATTTGAGCACACTCCCGCGGGCAGGCCAGCAGCTTGTCCGGCGGCCCTTTTCGTTTGCTCGTGCCTTGTGGCCGCGTGCTTGTTTCTAATTGCTGCGGTGGTTTGGCTCTTGATTTTTTCACTTACGTTTATTCTCAAGCAGTGCCCTTGGGCGTGGGCAGCAGTTCTTTGGCCCCCCTGTGGGCACGGGTGTGCGTGTCCGTCCCCCTCGTTCTTTCTTTGTTTGCTTTGGGTGTTGAGTCAGCTCGCGGGCTTTGCCGCTCCGTTCTTACGTGCAACAGGCTGCCGAAGGTCTGCGGCTGCGCACGGATCTGCTGACGGCTTGTGTTGTGCTGAGATGCTTGCCTTTTGTCTAGTGGTCTACTTTATTTTCTCGCGCAACGCCTTAGGCTTAGGCCCGGGAGGGCCTAGCGAGTTTCGATCCACTTTCCGTTCCCCGTGTGCTTTTTTGCTTTTCTGTTGCTTGGGGGTTCTGTTTCTCCTAGGAGCGTTGGGGGAGCGGCCCAGCCGATGGGCCCGGCAGGTCTTCGCCGCGGCAAAGAAGAGCTGGCAGGCAGCGCATTGGCCCTGATGGCTCCTAGAAGCGTTTCCGCTTCTCCATTCTGATTGCTTGATATATCACCGACTTCAGGCGACAAGGGCACTCCGGCACAAAGCGACAAAATCACGGCCCACCTACAGTGTGAAGAAGTGGCGAGAGACATGCTCACACTGTTGCAGGCAGAGTGTGACTTTCTTCCAAATGGGATTACGGACAGTCCGCAGGACAACGCAAAGAAGGAGTGCCACACGAAAAAGTTTGCGTGGGACGTTGGAAACCAAGGCCAAACGTACACTGGCCTACAATTATGTTTTTTTATATTTTCTTCATTGTCCGGAGTAGGTAGATACGTGCAGCGGAGTCTCTATCAATGGCCTCCTCAATACTGCAGAAGGGAAAGCCCCGCCTGAGCTCGAGGGAACTCGAGGGTCAGGTGATAACTAAGAGCAGCCGAATACCTGGCAAACAAGCAATTTGAGGACAGTGAAGACAATGAATGGCAGCTCGAATACAGGACTCGATGTTGTATGTTCTGCAGAGGTCTCTCAGCCTTTCGCCGCTTGTGCAAGAGGTCCAGAAGGTGGAAGTGAATCTTACGGGCTGCACCATATTTCCTTTGTCCCGGGTGTAGGTCATATGCTGAGGCACTCCGTCTTGCTCTACTATGTTCAATTCTTGAGAGAGAACTAGCGGTGGTCACCTCCTCACATACTAGGATGGAAGCGGGCAACCGGGAAAAGGGTCGAAAACAGCTTTTTAAACCAGGTCTGTGTCACTTCACGGAGCGGTCTTCAGGACGCTGAGTTATCCCTTGGCCTTCTTCGGACTAATCGTTTCGCCATAGAGAAGAAGCCTTCTTGTTGTGTAATCGGTTTTTGCTGTCACTCTCTTCTAAGTGTCTGCTCTCACAGCTCCCGAAGCTGCTCTCACGAATCAGGGAGATAAACATAAAGAAGCCTTCAGCACTTCATGTGGAGCGGATTCTGGCAGGCCATTTGGAAGCGGCACACGAGTTGGAAGCAAGAAGCAAGCCGGAGGCGGAGAAAAGGCTCAGTGGGACAGTCAACATACTGCCACCACTGCTCGATGACGCAGGAATAGGAAAGCCGCAAGTGAGTGCTTTTGATTATGGCTGTGCCATGTAAAGCTGAAATGGCTTAGGTTAGTATGTGTGAGGCGGGGTTTGATGCTGCACTGGGTGGCGGGGCCCGTGCGGCAGTGTTGCTGCTGGCATTGTTGTTCGACGCAGATCAATTCCCAAGCGAAACGGCTGCACAGTCGGCCTACAGAATAAAAGACGTCGGAACACTTTGGCGGGCTTGTGTGTTCTGGCACGGTCCTCAGGCGCGTCGCGTCCGCCTGTCGTAGGTTTTCGTCGTGTGTTCATATGTGGGCGCCCTTCGTGTGGGTGTGGGTGCAGCAGTTGTGCCTGGGGCGTGGGCGTGCGTCGCTGGGCACGAACGGCGCCCGCCTTGAGCGGCCCCCAAGGGAGCGCCACAGCTGTAAGGCACGCACAGGCCCTGGGCTGTCGGGGGTGTGTGCGGTGTGCTCTTTGCTTGGTTGGCGTGCTGGTATGGCTTCTCTCGGTTTCTTTGTGGAGTGGCGACTGTGTCCCCGGAGCTTTGCTCAGCTTCTGTGGCTGTTTGCCTCTTCAGAACCAGAAAGGAGGCTGGCGTGGGTATGGTCAAACGCCGGGCGGCTGATGGGGGTTCACTTGCATAGGCCTTGGGGAGCTACGATTTCAGCAAGTGTTGCGGGTGCTGGAAAGCATCGGGCCGGGCGGGCCGGGCCTTCCCATTTCAAATGCCTTGCCCGGCTTCAGCCAGTGGTGGCGCGGCATCCCCGAGTGGTGAAAGTAGGGCGCCCGGCGATAATCGGATCGCGACCATCGGGTTAAAGAAGTGGGGCGCGGCTCATTCGCTGCTGATGTTGTTTTTGCGCGCCATATTGCTCAGCGCCCCTTGCAGAAGTGTTGTTTCTTTGTCTTACTTTTCAGGACTATATTTCGCCGTAGCATTTCTTCTAACGCAAAAGCCGCCTCAAGGAGCTGCGCGAAGCGGCGAACGGCCTGGAGGAGCTAGGAGAGCTGAAAAGCTTGGAGGTTATGTTGAGTAGTGTGGCGCAGTACTTCAGGCCCCATTTCCATTCCGCTTGTGCGTGGGGTGTAAGTACTTACTTCGGCGAACTTTGTATGAGATAGATACCAAAGCAAATGAAAGGGGTCGAGAGGCAGGGACAAATCCACTTGGAGCCACAGACGGACCCGCAACGCAGTTTCCCCAGAGAGTGTTGCGCACCCTGTGCACCTCGCGCGCACTGTTCGGGGCGTGGCTTTGGTTTAGTCCCGTTTGGCCCTGCGTGTCGGTTCGTGGCGTGAGAAATCCAAAGGACCTGAAATGCTCTAGGAATTCGCGGGACGCGCAGCCTGTGCGGGAATGGCGCCAGGACTCGCGCAGAGGTGGTAACGCGCAGCCCTGCCTGCGCGCAGGTGCACAGCCTGCAGGCAGCAGCGCGAGCCCCCTGACGGCTTCGCCAGTAGTTTTTCCAGGGCTGAGCACCCTGAGGGAGGCGTTGGGGCCTAGGGGAGAGATGTGCACCTTTTCCAGAAGAAGGAGGCGCTTAGCCAGAGACCTCTCTTTTCGAGTGCCTCGCCGCCAAAACTGCCGCGGCGCCCGCGCTCATTGTCTTTGGCGATGGAGGTGGGGTCGGTGTCTTTGCGCGTGTGCATTTTACGCTGACGCCAGTGAAGGGCGGGAACTGGCGCCGGGTGGTTGGTCTCCGGTGTTTGGCGCTCGTGCTTGGGCGCCTTGTTGTGCCCGCTGTAGCGTGCGGGTCCGAGTTTCCTCTCCCACATCACTTATAGGTTGTAGCTGTTCGGCCTGACGGCTCGCGGGTCCAGGCATTCAGGCACATGAAGGGCTGCTGTTCGTGTCCCTCAGCTCATGTGTTTGGGGGTGGCACGAGTGTTGTTTGTTCGGGGTTCGGTGTTTCGTTCACCTACAGACTGTAGGTCCGCTCCGCGGTATGGTTATCCGGCTGGGCCGACTGCGGTCGGCACCAGTGGCCCTTTGCCGTATGTTGCGCCGATTGAAACAAAGTGGGCCTTGCCGTGTCTCTGGCAGTTCAGCGCACTGGGCTCTTGCTTTCGCGGGGTTTCGTTTGTAGCTTCGTTCTTGTAGTAAATATCTTAATTCTAAAAACGCGAAAGGCCGGACGCCTCTCGGGCATGAATACAAAGACAGCTTCGTGAGTAGGGCTGTACAGGTGAGAGCGCTTGTCAGGCTGCTCTGGGCTTTCAGGGTTTTCGCCTTCGTGGGGAGTGCGCAGCAGCCGCCACGGTTTGACTTAAGGCTCGCAGCAAAAACGGTTAGTAGTTTTTGTAATTGATATTTTCAAGTGGTAGAAGTGTTGCTCTTGTTGGCTCTGGAGGACAAATGGCCCAAGGAGTGAAGGGTGATTCGGTTATATTTAAGGAAGTTTCACCAGGCTTCATATTTCCTTGTTAAGTTGTGTGCGGGTCTACCGCTCGCGCAAGTGGCTGAGGACATGAAGAAGGTGAAACCAGAAGTGTCGCAGCTGGTGGCGATGCGTCACAAAATAGTCCAGGACGGTTCCACAAAGGTCTTCAAATTCGTAAACATGTGCTCCGAAAAGGTCCTGGGGGAGCCGGCTTCAAACTGGGTGCAACATGTCCAAGACACACTGAGCGACGTAGAAAAGCTGTGTTAGGGCTCTTGAATATTACTTATGTAAGTATGGGGCCTCTGCCTCTCATCTCTTTCGCAGGTTGGTTCTTCTCTAGAGAATGCTTTCACGTCATGCCCCTTGGAAGGTAATCTTCCGCTACCACATTTGTTCGGGGTCAGGATGATCACTATTTGCTCAAATAATTACTCGGCAATACCATTTTGCACAGGGTCACCAGGATATTAATCATTATCCTGCAGACCAGTTCGGCTGCATCTACTTCATGAGGCCTAGGGCTAATAGAAATTCAGTTTTTCGAGTACTTAGTTGCCTCCTACTTTTTTTTGATTTTGAGTAGCCCTAGTTGTGCTCGAAAGGGTGTCGTGCGGCCAAAAAAACACTTTTCTATGTTCGCTTTTGGCACAGTGTTGCTCCATAATGAATATCCAGCATTGAGTAGCTCCTCGTACAGAAAATATTAGAGCTACTTACATACAACAAGTAACCGAGGTGTTTTTCGAGTACTTAGTTGCCTCCTACTTTTTTTTGATTTTGAGTAGCCCTAATTGTGCTCGAAAGGGTGTGCAGCCAAGGACTGGGGCCTTGAGAATACGAACGAAGACCCAGCTGCAGCTTCCAATCGGGTGAAAGTTGGAGCAGATGCGGCGGAGCGTGCTGCACTGGCACTATACTTGCGGCAGATTCAAAGAAGACGATACTTAAAGAAGACTACTCTACTTATTCAGGTCATTAACCTTTTAACCTTTTTTTGAGAAGGCTTCAACCGCTGAGGTCATTTTTAGCCTTCCTCTTATTCAAAGCAAGAAGACTATTGAAATATATTTATATTGACCTTTATACCTTAAGGAGGATTATCATTTGAGACGTAAGAGGTGACTTCCAGGATGAATTAGATCGGTAGGGTCACGAACAAGTTCACTCGAGTGAATGCTGGCTAGAAATTTTATGTCAGGCTGTAGGGTCTATGTCTAATATACGAAACTCGGGCTATGGAAGTACGAGCACGGACGCTCGATGTCCTACCGATGGATGTTATGGCCACCGCTCCTGAAGCATGTCTATTCTATCATGTTTTTCTCTCTGGTTCATGAAAAAGTACACTCCTGTATACAGTATGATCATGGTGATCCTTACTTCTGCTCCTAATAATATTGATGATCCTTAGCATGTTTTCGGTGGCGAATATTACATAGCAGGAAGTATGACGATCTCAACGTCACACCACCTGGTCTTTAGTAGTTATTCCATAACTAGTAGTATGATGGGGGTAGTAGTATGATCATACTCATTACAGTCGAATAGTACTCAAAATGAGCATGTAACAAAAACAATAACCAAGTATGTGTGAGATTATTCCCTAGGATACTCGGTTACTTCAGTTTTTCGAGTAGTGCCCAAGGGTAATCCAGAGCTTTTGCAGCTGGTGAAAAAGTAAGATGAAGCCTCATCTGTGAGTAGCTCTAATTTTGAGAAGCGAAGGTCAACAGCTGCTGGAGGCACGTTGTTATGCCATCCTCTATTGAAATCCATCGGAAAGTGTGCCTTACTCTATTTTTTTTTTAGTGCCGGTATAGAAAGCCTTTCGCAGGTTTTTTTACTACTTCCTTTTTCTTTTCCTAGTTAGCTTGGCTCCACCCGTAATAATATAAGAGAGATAGAGTGGAATGGGTGTTGTCTCAATAACTCTTATTATCTTTCGCACCCAACCCCCACGTGCGGATTGCCTGCCGACTAGATTCGCACGTGGTATTACTAACAAGAAAGCATAGAGTGATTTCTTGTTTGACTTCTTTGGCAGGACGCTCATCGGTTTGACATGATGGACAGGGGCAATTGACATGATGTTCAAGGGAAATCCTTTATTAAGGGAAAGGAGTGACGTTCAGATGGATTTTTGAGGCTGTTGCTAACTAAACAAGAGGATGAAAAGAAGGTGTGTGCTGAAAACAACGTCTTTAGCTTGGAGAAAGTTGGTGGAATCAGCAGCAGCGGGGCTTTAAGGCTACTCGAAAAGTGAAAATAAGCGAGTACTAGCTAACTGATAAATATAAAAACAGAGTCACTGCGGAGCTGCTAGCTCTTCTTTCAGTATCTCGATTATTCGAAGTACCTCTTTTTACTCGCTTATTTCAGTTTATCGATTACCTCTGAAGCATTCTTGGTAGCATTCTTGGCTCTTTTTGTACTCAGCATCCTTCGAAAGTTAAAAAGCAGCAAGTAACTTCTAAGTTCAAGATTGCAAGTAACTAAGTTCTCTTTAGTTACAGTAGCTCCCTTTGCTCTAATGGTTGGAGACGAAAGGGCACAGGCCCAGCTTCGAATCTTGGATAAGTCGCCGGAACTTGCAGAGCTAGCTTTGCTTCTAGAGTTAAGGCTCAGCACTTTTAGTTTTACTTACGATGAGTAAGTACTTATTCGATCTCGATAGATGTAGTATCTTTCTGTTAAGAAAATTCTAGTGTTAAGAAAAGACTGCATTAAGAAAAGACACCATGACGCCTGTAAGCAGTCTGCAGTGATTTTCGTGCGAGAGTAATTGCGTTGTATTGTATTGTATTGTATTGTATAGTAGTTAGTTGTGTGATGTACTTAGTGTTTCCATGAGGTCGGCGACGTAACGTATGGGAGCCTTAGCAGGATAGTGTTGCTGTAGCATTTGACATAGGGGACCATATTGTAGCTGATGTAGTGTCTTTGAAGAAGATTTTCATGTTAAATCTGTAGAGTAGAAGTACAAGGATGCTGCCGCTTTCTTTTTTCTAGCTTTAAGGCTCCACTGGGAAGTATGTGACCATTAGCACTAGGAGAAGAAGTGTAGATATCTCATGCACCCTACAGATCTCTTATTGCACCTTCTATAGATAATATCTTCTGTAAAGTCTATAGATAACTTCTCTCGTCGTGTTAGAAGTTCTCCGTTTCTAGTCGCTGTCTTTCACTAGAAGACGAGGACACAAATGAGATGCTTTTATACGTGTTTGTTAGACCACGAGGCCACAAAGATGCTTTATTTCAACGTTTTTCTTGCAGGGCAGCGCCTAACCTTATACTTATATCTAAGATTCTTAAACAAGAGATGAGACAAGTAGAATTGTGGTCCTCCTACGTTTTAGATTTGAGAAGTCATCTAGTGAGCCAACCGTTTAGTCTAATCTAACTGATCTGATTAGGATCTAACTGACTTTTAGATCTAAACTCTACAAACTAACAACTGATCTAACTCTAGACTAGTTTCTGACTCGAGTAGTCGACTCGAGACTAGTTCCTGGCCCGTCGAGTAGTCGACTGTAGACTAGTTCCTGACTCGAGTAGTCGCCTTCTAGTCATCACCATATCGCTCCCGAGCGTAGAGGTGCGGCAGTCGCAGCTGTGGGGAGGTCGGTGCCTGCGGAGGCAACCTGATCGATTGACTGATTGGCTGCCACCGTCTAACTTTAGTACAGCGAGAAGAGCACGCGACTTGGCTTAGGACGGGGAAGGAAGAAATGACGTGGGTAGCCACTGCGGAGGTATGGATGACAATTTTTCTCCCATCTTTAAAAGGCCATGATCGAAGCTTCTTCATAGGGCCCATGCGTTTTCGTTTTGAAGGGGACGATGAGAAGGGTAGAAGCCTCAATGGTCTGCCTCTAGAAGAGGAGAGAAAAATAAGCGCCATTTTTCATAGAATGCTGATGGAGTTGTGACCCCCTTGTCGGACCTAGAAACGACATGGGAGACCGCCTTTAGGAATTCGGTTCTCCTGAAAAGTAGTAGGTTTTCGCATGTTCCGCTAGTAGAGGACGTGAAGAAATTCTGCAGTATTAAAGACAACGTCGACCATAAGCGATTTCTCACTTAGGAGACCGCATGCAGGTGTTTTTTCTTCCCGTCTTCCGTAGGTCAGGGAGACCAGCATGATCTTCGCGGGTATCACGACTATTAGTGCCCTATATAGAAGGCTACAGCTGTTGTACGTTTATGTTTAAAGCGGGGACGAAAAGGGTAGGAGGTGTGTTGGCTGATGGTCTGGCTTATCGCGGTAGAGGTCAGGAGTTTCTTCTGGTTCTCTCCTTCTTCCTCTTATTTAAGCTTTTCTTTTTAAGGGGACGAAATAAAAGGAAAATAGCCGACGTGACTGACAGTCTGCCTCTAGATGAGGGGAGAAAAAACATGATCGTCTATATCACCACTCTGGTCAGCAAACCTGCTGAAGGCTCATCTGCATCTGTTGAAGAAGGTTCTCCTAGTTCGGCCCTGACGCTTGCTAGTGGTGTGCGTGAACTTACTAAAGAGTATTATCGACTACGGGTAGGGCATACAAAAAATTAAGGCTCGTGGTCCTTGAGACAGATCTGTTCCTTCATTCATCTACCCGAAAAATGGAAGTGTGCGAGTACAGCTAACTGAAATAGACGTCGCTACCCTTCTTTAAGTAAACGTCGCGACCCTAATTGAAATAAACATAAAGGGGTCACAACGTCGCTACCTTTCTTTAAGTTATACTGCTCCTACTAACTCCTCCTCCCTACTCCTCCCTACTCCTCCCTACTCCTTCCTACTCCTCCCTACTCCTTCCCACTCCTTCCTACTCCTTCCTACTCCTTCCTACTCCTTCCTACTCCTTCCTACTCCTTCCTACTCCTTCCTACTCCTTCCTACTCCTTCCTACTCCTTCCTACTCCTTCCTACTCCTTCCTACTCCTTCCTACTCCTTCCTACTCCTTCCTACTCCTTCCTACTCCTTCCTACTCCTTCCTACTCCTTCCTACTCCTTCCTACTCCTTCCTACTCCTTCCTACTCCTTCCTACTCCTTCCTACTCCTTCCTACTCCTTCCTACTCCTTCCTACTCCTTCCTACTCCTTCCTACTCCTTCCTACTCCTTCCTACTCCTTCCTACTCCTTCCTACTCCTTCCTACTCCTTCCTACTCCTTCCTACTCCTTCCTACTCCTTCCTACTCCTTCCTACTCCTTCCTACTCCTTCCTACTCCTTCCTACTCCTTCCTACTCCTTCCTACTCCTTCCTACTCCTTCCTACTCCTTCCTACTCCTTCCTACTCCTTCCTACTCCTTCCTACTCCTTCCTACTCCTTCCTACTCCTTCCTACTCCTTCCTACTCCTTCCTACTCCTTCCTACTCCTTCCTACTCCTTCCTACTCCTTCCTACTCCTTCCTACTCCTTCCTACTCCTTCCTACTCCTTCCTACTCCTTCCTACTCCTTCCTACTCCTTCCTACTCCTTCCTACTCCTTCCTACCCCTTCCTACTCCTTCCTACTCCCCTTGCCTTCCTACTCCCCTTGCCTTCCTACTCCCCTTGCCTTCCTACTCCCCTTGCCTTCCTACTCCCCTTGCCTTCCTACTCCTTGCCTTCCTACTCCTTGCCTTCCTACTCCTTGCCTTCCTACTCCTTGCTTTCCTACTCCTTGCCTGCCTACTCCTTGCCTGCCTACTCCTTGCACGCCTACTCCTTGCCCCCCTGCTCCTTGCTTTCCTACTCCTTGCCTCCCTACTCCTTGCCTCCCTACTCTTTGCCTTCTTACTCCTTGCCCTCCTGTTCCTTGCCTCCCTGCTCCTTGCTTGCTTCCTGCTCCTTGCCTTCTTGCTCTCTGCCTTCCACCTGCTCTTTGCCTTCCACCTGCTCTTTGCCTTCCACCTGCTCTTTGCCTTCCACCTGCTCTTTGCCTTCCACCTGCTCTTTGCCTTCCTACTCCTTGCCTTCCTGCTCCTTGCCTTCCTACTCCTTGCCTTCCTACTCCTTGCCTTCCTACTCCTTGCCTTCCAGCTCCTTGCCTTCTTACTCCTTGCTTCCTTACTCCTTGCGTTGCCTTCTTACTCCTTCCTACTCCTTTTATGAAGACCGTTCGCCTATGAGCTCGCCGCTGACTTTGTCACCCGGATGCCCCTCAGGTTGGGAAGCTATGGAAGCTGCGGCCGTTATTGTGACGAGCCTCAGCCATAGATACTGTGACTAGCCTCGTCCGCTTTACTATGACTGGCCGCAGACTTATTGCGGCTAGTCTCAGTCTTGCCGTGACTAGTCTCAGTTTTACTGTGACGGGCTTCAAACTTATTGCGACTAGCTTCGGCCTTAGTTACTGTGACTAGCCTCGCCCCCACTGTGACTAGTTTCGCGCCCACTTTGATCGGCTTCCGACTTATTTCGACTAGCCTCAGACTTACTGCGACTGGCCTCGCGCTCACTGTGACCATTTTCAAACTTGACCACTCTCAGGCAATAGCGTCAGGCTTTCGCTTAGGTGTTTGGCCTTTCTGATCTCTCTTACTCTTTGTCCTTCTTAATTAATCCTTCTTAATCTTTCTTAATCTTTCTTAATCTTTCTTAATCTTTCCTAATCTTTCTTACTCCTTCCTACTCCTTCCTACTCCTTCCTACTCCTTCCTACTCCTTCCTACTCCCTCCTAATCCTTCCTACTCCTTCCTACTCCTTCCTACTCCTTCCTACTCCTTCCTACTCCTTCCTACTCCTTCCCACTCCTTCCTACTCCTTCCTACTCCTTCCTACTCCTTCCTACTCCTTCCTACTCCTTCCTACTCCTTCCTACTCCTTCCTACTCCTTCCTACTCCTTCCTACTCCTTCCTACTCCTTCCTACTCCTTCCTACTCCTTCCTACTCCTTCCTACTCCTTCCTACTCCTTCCTACTCCTTCCTACTCCTTCCTACTCCTTCCTACTCCTTCCTACTCCTTCCTACTCCTTCCTACTCCTTCCTACTCCTTCCTACTCCTTCCTACTCCTTCCTACTCCTTCCTACTCCTTCCTACTCCTTCCTACTCCTTCCTACTCCTTCCTACTCCTTCCTACTCCTTCCTACTCCTTCCTACTCCTTCCTACTCCTTCCTACTCCTTCCTACTCCTTCCTACTCCTTCCTACTCCTTCCTACTCCTTCCTACTCCTTCCTACTCCTTCCTACTCCTTCCTACTCCTTCCTACTCCTTCCTACTCCTTCCTACTCCTTCCTACTCCTTCCTACTCCTTCCTACTCCTTCCTACTCCTTCCTACTCCTTCCTACTCCTTCCTACTCCTTCCTACTCCTTCCTACTCCTTCCTACTCCTTCCTACTCCTTCCTACTCCTTCCTACTCCTTCCTACTCCTTCCTACTCCTTCCTACTCCTTCCTACTCCTTCCTACTCCTTCCTACTCCTTCCTACTCCTTCCTACTCCTTCCTACTCCTTCCTACTCCTTCCTACTCCTTCCTACTCCTTCCTACTCCTTCCTACTCCTTCCTACTCCTTCCTACTCCTTCCTACTCCTTCCTACTCCTTCCTACTCCTTCCTACTCCTTCCTACTCCTTCCTACTCCTTCCTACTCCTTCCTACTCCTTCCTACTCCTTCCTACTCCTTCCTACTCCTTCCTACTCCTTCCTACTCCTTCCTACTCCTTCCTACTCCTTCCTACTCCTTCCTACTCCTTCCTACTCCTTCCTACTCCTTCCTACTCCTTCCTACTCCTTCCTACTCCTTCCTACTCCTTCCTACTCCTTCCTACTCCTTCCTACTCCTTCCTACTCCTTCCTACTCCTTCCTACTCCTTCCTACTCCTTCCTACTCCTTCCTACTCCTTCCTACTCCTTCCTACTCCTTCCTACTCCTTCCTACTCCTTCCTACTCCTTCCTACTCCTTCCTACTCCTTCCTACTCCTTCCTACTCCTTCCTACTCCTTCCTACTCCTTCCTACTCCTTCCTACTCCTTCCTACTCCTTCCTACTCCTTCCTACTCCTTCCTACTCCTTCCTACTCCTTCCTACTCCTTCCTACTCCTTCCTACTCCTTCCTACTCCTTCCTACTCCTTCCTACTCCTTCCTACTCCTTCCTACTCCTTCCTACTCCTTCCTACTCCTTCCTACTCCTTCCTACTCCTTCCTACTCCTTCCTACTCCTTCCTACTCCTTCCTACTCCTTCCTACTCCTTCCTACTCCTTCCTACTCCTTCCTACTCCTTCCTACTCCTTCCTACTCCTTCCTACTCCTTCCTACTCCTTCCTACTCCTTCCTACTCCTTCCTACTCCTTCCTACTCCTTCCTACTCCTTCCTACTCCTTCCTACTCCTTCCTACTCCTTCCTACTCCTTCCTACTCCTTCCTACTCCTTCCTCCTCCTTCCTACTCCTTCCTACTCCTTCCTACTCCTTCCTACTGTTCCCACTACCACTGCCGGTGGATGCGTCAGGTCTTAATTTTTCAGTTTCTACTAATATTTAACAAGATGTTGAAGTCATGTGGAGTCAGTCTCTACTAAAGATGAGCAAGTAGCGCTTGCTTCAGTCTCTAATGAAATGCGTGTGAAAAAACGGGCATGCGAGAGCGCGTTGCTTTGGATATGTATTGGGAAGGTGGCGAAGTAGTATCCGGGAAATCTTTAGCAAAGCTTCAGCGCAGGCTCGCCATTTAAGGACGAAGATGATGCTTTTTGCATCTTTCTATGTATCCCTTATTTCAAGAAATGGGTTAGTACCGTTGTACCTCAGTGCACCTTTTTATCAGACCACCTTCCTTAAAGGCTCTCTTGCTACTTACGTCACTATAGGGGTAGTGTACGTTCTTTTTAAGAAAAAACGAAAAGGGTATTATAGTAATATTAGTATTTATAGCATTAGCAACTGGCGGGAATCTCTTAAGCGCCTCCCTTCAGGAGCTTCCTTAAGGAGCTTCTTACTTTAAGGAAATTGATTTCCTTAAAGGTTTTCTATTGGAGAAAATTCAACTAAGGACTGCAAAAATCCGGACAAAATTCAATCTTTCCGGGCATGACGCGAATCCGCAGAATACTCGCCGCCTACTGCGTTCCCTTCTGGAAAACCCTCACCCAGTTGCGAGCCAAGAACTTCGGGCACCCTCCAAATCCCCGCGCCCCTCCAGAATCCCCCAGCTCACATCTGCAGGCTGGTGCGGTGGACTCTGGAGGGGCGCGGGGAATCACATGAAACGAAACCAAAAGACAGAAAAACCAAGAGGAAGCAAGTGGCAACAGCCGCTAAGCGGAGCACTTCCAGGACGAGGAGGCGGCAATAAAGACCGCTTTTGTGCAGTTCTTAGTTGACTTAGCGCCATTATAAAAAATTACTATAGCATAACTTTCCCTAAGAAGCAAAGACATTCCTTAAGGAGCTCCCTTAAGGGCGACTTGTTATAGACTTAGGCTAATAACAAGGGCTCCTTAGTTAAGGCGCTTGCTAGTGCTACGAGTTCAAAGCTACCGAGAAGGAACGTGTGAACGCCTTCCGCCAGATAATGCACAAGGAAAGTCAAGCGAGTTCCTGGCTTTTTTTTCGCTTGTCAGATCTGTCGACCTTTCTATGAAATCGAGCCAGTGAATTGTTTGACTGAGGAGATTCCTCGCCAACTAAAAGGATTGGGGCTGTTTTTTTGGTGGTGTCGGTATCTCTCCTTCTATAAGATATGACAAGAAATCACTCACCACCTTGAGGCGTGGCCTTCTCCTGAAGTGCGGCTATGGGGGTGCATAGTAATGCCATCAGCGCTGCCGCCTCTTTCATTGATCTGCCGACGAAATCAACACAAGGCGTTCGCGGCTGGTGTTAGTTTGTAGGCTACTCAAGTACACCAGCCACAACGGCAGCAAGACACTACGCGCCCACCCCTAGCGAATCGCCTCAACGAACTTCCAGCCGCTACCCTTATCGTGCGGCGCCTTTGCCTTTTTTCAAAAACTTCAGGGAGGTCATTCAAATACAGAGAAAACTGAGCGACCCCCGTGGAGTTTTTGGAGAAATGTTAGCGCATTCCCCCTCCGCGACTACCTTCCGCGCACAGCAATCGACCACAGGAGCGCGCGGCCGTGTCCAGGTTTGGCCTTCTCATAGGCATGACGATGCCCAACCAAGACAGAGGCCCCACCCTTCAGATATGGAGGGGCCCAGGCATATTCGTTCCCCTAACAAGCATCGACGCCCTCCGGGTCCTCTACTTCTGTACACTACACGCATCCATGCGCCCAAGTTTGTCTGTAGTTAGGTAGCGGGTTGGCCATAGCTAAGTAGCTCGCTAGCTGCTCGGCAGGCATGCCGAGCCTGCTAGCTGCTCAGTAGGCATAGATGGCCTGCTGGCTGCTTTTTAGGCAGGCCTAGCCTGTTAGCTGCTCCGCCGTAGCTATCGAGCCCACCGCCCCGCTAGCAGCTGCTCGCTTTTATCTAGCTGGCTGGCTAGGGCTAGGCAAGCTAGCCCCTTGCCTATGGCAAGCTTGCTAGCTGCTTGGCGAAATCTGGCTCAGCAGCTGCTTTGCCGTCGCCAGTCTTCCAACTTTGCCGCGTCCCGCGAGCTTGCTAGCTAGCTTGGCCATGGCCACGGTGCTCTTATCTGCCTAGTTTGTTGCTGCCGCCCTATGCCCAGCGCAGCGGGCCCTTGGTGGGCCCGCTTTCTGGGCATGTGCCTATGCGTTATTTTAAGGACAGACGAAAAGGGTATAGTAGTATACGTTTTTAAGGATATGAACATGAAACAAAAGGGTTTTTGCCGTGAATTTGGCCTACTCAGACCTACTTTCATAGAATGTAGGCAGCTGAAAACCGTGACCATTTTTCATAATATGCAGCAGCTGAAAAGCGTGACCACGAAAATGGTTGAGGACGAAAAAGAAACCAAGCCTGGCGTGGAAGCACTAATGAAAAAAGATCCGATTTCGCCGGATGAGGAAAAGATCAAAAGCGAGTGGCGAAGGTTTGAGCAATATGTGGAGATGGCAGAAGAGACCCAAATTTCACTCGACTTTCTCACGGGGGCGCACATCTTAAGGCTTTTCTTTAGAAGCTCGTGGTCATCTTCTCATGAAAAGTGGTCATCTGACCAGAGATCAGCTAAAAAATCTTCTTCTCCCGAAAAGTGGAATGATCAAATCTATTGTTATTAATAATACGCGAACAAGACTGACGCATGATTCACTACGAGACTGAACCAGTGGCCATAATGCTGATGAAGATTGACAAGTGAGCTTTTAGTAGAAGATGATACGAGACTGAAAGAGGACATGCCGCAGTTCGATCGCAGTCTGGCTATGTCGTTTCTTACGGCTACTTGGCTTCATGGGCGTGGCTTAGTGACTTGGCTTAATGGCCCTTTTACTTTTAGTGGCTAAGTTGAGTAAAAAACTAGTTGCATCGGTGGGGGAGATAGGCATGTAAGTAGTTCTATGGAAAAAGCGAACATCTACAACGAGTATATCTACAATGTGCTCTGATTGATTAGTTGACTGGTTGACGGATTCTCAAGTTCATTGCGAGCTGCATAATATACATAGATGCCCAGAAAGCGTGCCCATGCATGCATCAAGGGCCCGCTGGGGTGGGCTGGGCATACTTAGGTTAACAAACTAGACAGATAACTAAGACACAGAAAGACAAGCGAAAAAAGTCGCTAAGTCTGCTCGCCAAGACTGGAAAGGCTGGCAAGCTGGCTCCCTCTGCGGCGAGGCTAGTAAGCTGGCTACTGCCTTGGCCGACTTGCTGACATACTGGGAAGCCAATGGGCGCCAAGCTCGGCCTCGGCGAGCTCACAAGCCTAGACTAGCTGGCTTGGGGGCCATCCGTGGCGAGGTAGCTCAGGAGCCATGGCTAGCTAGCTTGGAAGCCATGGCCAGCCCGCTTCGAAGCAGTGGCCGCAAGGTAACGATCCTGCCCAGAAGTCGCGGCCAGCTAGCCTGGAAGCCATGGCGAGCCAGCTCAGAGGGAAGCCATGGCGGCGGCTTAGCATAGCTCAGAGTGAAAATGAAGCCAAAGCCAGCTAGCTTAGAAGCCATGCCCAGCCAGCTTGGAAGCCATAGCGAGCTAGCCCAGAAACCGGGACCAGCTAGCTTTGAAGCCCTGGCCTCTGAAGGCGTGGCCAGCTAGCTTGGAAGCCATGGCCAGCCAGCCCAGCTTGCTGGAAGCCATGGCGAGCGGAGCTAGCTCAGAAGCCCTGACCAGCTAGCTTGGAAACCCTGACCAGCCATCCCGGAAGGCATGGTGAGCGAGGTCCGAAGCCATTGCCAGCTAGCTTAGACCTTAGAAAGAAGCCATGGCCAGCCAGCTTGGAAGCCATGGCCATGGCGCGCTAGCTCTGAAGCCCTGGCCAGCTAGCTTAGAAGCGTTGGGCATCTAGCTATGAAGCCTTGGCCAGGTGACTCTGATTCTGAAGCCTTGGCCAGCTTGCTAGCCCTGAAGCCTTGGCGGCCAGCTTGCTAGCTTACTGGGAAGCCAAGCAAGCAATGAATTTGAGCGCCATGGCTGACTAGCTCAGAACCCGTCGCCAGCTTGCTCGCCTCGAAGCCTTGGCCAGCTAGCTCAGAAGCCATCGGCAGATAGCTTCGAAGCTATGGCCAGTCAGCTTGGAAGCCATGGGGAGGGAGCTCCAAAGCCATGGCCATGTAGCTTCGAAGCCATGGCCAGCCAGCTCAGAAGCCACGGGCAGCGCCAGCTAGCTCAGAAGCCATGGCCAGATAGGTTAGAAGCTATGGCCAGTCAGTTTGGAAGCCATGGGGAGGGAGCTCCAAAGCGATGGCCATGTAGCTTCGAAGCCATGGCCTGGCCAGCCAGCTTAGAAGCCTTGGCCAGTTGGCTCAGAGTGTGGCCTCGCCTGGCCAGCTAGCTCGGAAGCCTTGGGCGGCTCCCTAGGTAGCCTAGAGGCCACCGGCTGGCCAGCTGCTTCTGTCACAGCTGTCGCAGCTTCTGCGCTAGCCGCTTCCTTAAGGGAGGGCCCTTAAGGAGGGGGCTATAATAGCCACTTTTAATAAGAGAGGGGTCCCTAAGGGGGCTTTTTAAGGGTGGCACACCTTTAAGGAACTTCCCCAAGGAGCTTCCTTAAGGGCCCACCCTTAAGAAGACCGTAGAATTTGCTTAACTGTATATTATAAGTATTGATATTCATCTACGCGGAGTGTGTCATCTATGGCCTTTCTTTTCATGTAGGAAACAGGTCGAGGTCACTTCACAGATGAATTTACATTTAATTTAGATTCGATGTTACCTGAATCTTCGGAGATACTCCGCGAGCTAGATGTAGATCCTCGGAGGTCATCTTGCAATACTCAAGAGGTCGTGTGAGACAGGCAGACCCGTATTTGATTGATTCAACGTGGTTGCAACCCCTACCCCTATTCTTCCATAAATTTGGTTTTCCATGATAGGACTCCATAGGATACGATATGCTTCTTCCCCACCAGAGATGAAGAAGCACAAGCTTTTTGCTCACTGGTGCGGTCGTGTAATTAAATTAGAACTACGGAACAAGAAGTCTTCCTCACAACTGAAATTAGGACTGCGGTTCTCGTTGCGCGACTTCTTGTTCATTTTCCGTTGGATCCTCATTCACAACTTTCAAAAGAATATCAGTACATTGGCCCTCTTCCTCGGTCCACCTTTACTATTACTCATTTCCTTAGGATGCATGGACTATATCGTGCTCCTTCGTCTACTTCCCCCTCCCCCCAGAGCGACAACAACGCCTGATCTAAGTTTCCGTTAGACCGAACCCCTGGAGGGGATCTCTTGGGATTGAGCGACCTCTGGATCCACCTGCCGTTCTTTCCCTCAAGACGCGCGCTTCTACTCGAGCGATACTTTCTTTATGAGGCGTGATGAAGAAGCGTTAGTAGAACTAGTAGTTAGTAGATACTTTCTTTATACGAAGCGTCAGTAGAACTAGTAGTACTAGTAGCATAGTACTACTTACCCGCCATGTCCCTACTGGCACGAGCAACAAGGATAGAGATCATGAGATCACACGAAGCAAGACATAAAAAGAAGTACTGCGTAGTGGTTCTTCTTAACCCCTGGACGAGTGGGTACATTCACTCACTCACTCACTCACGCGTTAGTAGAACTAGTAGCACTGGTAGCATAGTACCCAAAAAACTTTCACCTTTTGGGTAATAGAGTACTATCATCTAATGAGATGTTTTTGCCGCTTTTTACATTTTGGGTAAGAGAGTACGATGGATCCTCTAGCGAGATGTTTTTGTCGCTTTTTACATTTTGGGTAAGAGAGTACGATGGATCCTCTAGCGAGATGTTTTTGTCGCTTTTTACATTTTGGGTAAGAGAGTACGATGGATCCTCTAGCGAGATGTTTTTGTCGCTTTTTACATTTTGGGTAAGAGAGTACGATGGATCCTCTAGCGAGATGTTTTTGTCGCTTTTTACATTTTGGGTAAGAGAGTACGATGGATCCTCTAGCGAGATGTTTTTGTCGCTTTTTACATTTTGGGTAAGAGAGTACGATGGATCCTCTAGCGAGATGTTTTTGTCGCTTTTTACATTTTGGGTAAGAGAGTACGATGGATCCTCTAGCGAGATGTTTTTGTCGCTTTTTACATTTTGGGTAAGAGAGTACGATGGATCCTCTAGCGAGATGTTTTTGTCGCTTTTTACATTTTGGGTAAGAGAGTACGATGGATCCTCTAGCGAGATGTTTTTGTCGCTTTTTACATTTTGGGTAAGAGAGTACGATGGATCCTCTAGCGAGATGTTTTTGTCGCTTTTTACATTTTGGGTAAGAGAGTACGATGGATCCTCTAGCGAGATGTTTTTGTCGCTTTTTACATTTTGGGTAAGAGAGTACGATGGATCCTCTAGCGAGATGTTTTTGTCGCTTTTTACATTTTGGGTAAGAGAGTACGATGGATCCTCTAGCGAGATGTTTTTGTCGCTTTTTACATTTTGGGTAAGAGAGTACGATGGATCCTCTAGCGAGATGTTTTTGTCGCTTTTTACATTTTGGGTAAGAGAGTACGATGGATCCTCTAGCGAGATGTTTTTGTCGCTTTTTACATTTTGGGTAAGAGAGTACGATGGATCCTCTAGCGAGATGTTTTTGTCGCTTTTTACATTTTGGGTAAGAGAGTACGATGGATCCTCTAGCGAGATGTTTTTGTCGCTTTTTACATTTTGGGTAAGAGAGTACGATGGATCCTCTAGCGAGATGTTTTTGTCGCTTTTTACATTTTGGGTAAGAGAGTACGATGGATCCTCTAGCGAGATTTTTTTTTTGTAATACCCCGCGAGTGGGTACAATCAATGAATCAATCAGTCAAGGAGCGTATATGTGCTATCATCTAGTGAGATGTTTTTGTCGCTTCTAGGTAGACTTGCTTGTAGTTCTAGGTTCTAAAATAGTAACAGCTGTCCGGTTCAGACAGGAGAGGCATTCCCTATCTCTAATCTCTTGCGGAGAGACTTTTCTAAGACCACTGTATGCACAGTCCTGCTCACCACTATTTATAGGGTTATACTTCTATGTACTTCACCTGCTCTAATACTTCTCCACAATCCGAGGATCTGCGGGGAAACTGCGAAAAATTTGGGAAAAGCAGAGGGATACCGACTTAAGAAGCAGATCCTTCCTATTAGAATTGGGAACCCTTTTCCTATGTATAGAAATTAGTAGAGCAGTTTCACAGCGGAAGTGGATGCACTCCATGGTTAGGGTGCACTACATCAGTTCATAGCCACCACATTAAGCCTATCCGATCCTACCCAGAAAGTAGAGTAACCTTGGATATTACCTATCCGATCTTCTCTTATCCTGCCCAGTAAGTAAAGTAACCTTGTTGGTGTCCTCGGTTTTATCGATCGTCCCATGCTAGCCGTAACGAGACGTAACTAAAGTAACCTTGGTGCAGCCCAGTAAGTAAAGTCCCCCCTCGCAAGTTGCCTCTCTGGGGGAGTCCTCATACCATCCGAACTCTCCATTGGGGCAAGCAGCGATGAAGCTACTAGAAAAACGACCTGTGGAGGATGCCAACGCTGCTGCAGCTGCAGCGATGAAGCTACTAGAAAAACGACCTGTGGAGGATGCCAACGCTGCTGCAGCTGCAGCGATGAAGCTACTAGAAAAACGACCTGTGGAGGGTGCCAACGCTGCTGCAGCTGCAGAACGACCTGGGGAGGATGCCAGCGCTGCTGCAGCTGCAGCCGAAGCTGCTGCAGCCTCCACTGTTATTAAGACTTCCTTCTTTCAGTGACATCGAGGGCTTTCTATTGGAGAAGATTTCACTGTGGCTGTGCCACTGACTTTTCAGCTTCCTCAACCTCATCACCCGTGGCTCTTTTTCTACTTGAAAATCGAGCCAAGCACGCACTCAGGGACGCGACCAAGGTAGCTCTAACAGTGCACGAGAAACCACTGCGCCAGGTACCACTGCAGCAGCAACCACTGCAGCAGAAACCACTGTTAAGGCCGGTCGGAGGGTGGTCCTCTCTCTTGCCCATGATTTGATTATACGTTTTTTTTATGAACGTTACATACGTGACACGGCACCTCTAACCCGGGATCAGCGATGATTAGTCAGAAAGTCCACAATAAGAAAATATATGGTCAGTTTTGTCCGTTTTCTACTTGAAAAATTATAAAACTGAGCTTGTTTTTCTTTTTTCTTATTTTTAGGCTTTTTGTAGGTTATTTCGGATTATCTGGCGACTATTTTTCTCAGTATGATATAAGGGCGCTCCTCAGCCAACTATTACTATATTATTTTATCTAACGCTAACCCGGGATCAGCGACGCAAACGCATACCACATCCACTGGGCCTCAAGAAGAGGCTCCCGCGGCGGACACAGCCAAGGCCGTTGTGAATGATGCCTATGTTGACAATCTGTCTGGAGGACGCGACAACAACGGCAAAGCTATACAAGAAGCAGCTGAATCCCGTTATTTAAGGCTTGATAATAGTGCAACTCATTTTGTTAAGTGGTAATGTATTGTCTATACAATGGATAGTTTCGCAGAAGTGGACACAACATAACCCAACCTAGCCTTCACAGTGAATACAACAACTCACCCCATCCTGTCAACATTTTCTTCGGTTTCCTTGCTCAACTTAGGATCATTCTGACGAAATGAAGCGCATCCTTCAACATCTTGGGCTCATACATTCTGAGGAAATCTCTGTATTAACTTCGGACGATCATTCGAAATACCTTCAGGGGTGGAGAAGTGAATTGTTTGAGCTTTCTAATTATGAAGCCAGAAGACGAAGAGCCACAGCCAGGAGTGCGAGGAAGGGATCCTCAGTTTAAGATCCTGAGGTCGTGATCTCTTATTTCGAGGCGCATCCTAGATACAAGGCTTTTCAAGAGGGGTGGGTAGTTTCCAATAGTCCATCTTCAGAAAAGGCTTCTAGAAAAGCTGTTTAAGACGCATCCTGGAAAGGCTTTCCATTTCTAGCAAGAGGGGTCGCTATGCTCCACGTATGATGTATGAATGTACGTACTTAACTTTGTAGATGGACTAGTCGGGTCCCGTGTGTTCAGCGGTGGGAAAGAGAGGAGGGGACGAGGAAAAAACGAGGGGCGAGAAGCTGCTAGCAGCGGCCAAACCCTGACATTCGAAACTCTGACCTTCCGAACTCTGAGGCGCCAAACCCTGACACCCGAACGCTGAGGCGGCAGGCCCTGACAGTGACAGGCCCGGCCACTTGCAAACGTCTCCCCTCCCAAACTCTGACGCCCGAAACTCTGACCTTCCGAACTTACTCTGAGGCGCCAAGCCCTGACAGTCGAACCGTGAGGCGCCAAGCCCTGACATTGACAGGCAAAGCCACTCGCAAACGCAAACGTACCCAAAACGCCAGCCACCCTGAGCTCTTCAGTTAACTCCGTGCAAGGTTCGAAATTTCGCGGCCGGTGTTTCCCTTGATGTCGCGCGTTCGTCGGAGACATTACCCGGCTCAAACGCGCCTGGCGGCCACGTTTAAACCCGTTAACGGCTGCGCGGCAGGCGTCCCCTGAGTGCACAGGCTGCCACTGAGGCCGCTGGCGTTCAGCTCGAGGAGGCGGCAAGCGCTGCCAGGAGCCCGCGCGCCTCCGCCTTTGACTTGCTGCAGCGCTGACTTCCCAGACCCTGACTCTCAAAACTCTGGCTTTCCGAGCTTTCCGAACTCTGAGGCGCCAAACCCTGGCACACACTCGAACGCTGAGGCGCCAGACGTTTATGCTGATAGGCTTGGCCACTTGCAAACGTGTCCCCTCCCAAACTCTGACGCGCAAAACTCTGGCCTTCCGAACTCGGAGGCGCCAAACCCTGACGTTCGAACCCTGAGGCGCCAAGCCCTGACATTGCCACGCGGAGCACCTGGTGAACGTCTCCAAAGCTTTGACATGACCCGGCCCAAATGCGCCTGGCGGTCACGTTTAAACGTGTTAACGGCTGCGCGGCAGGCGTCCACGCTGTCAGCCACTGAGTGCACGGGCCGCCACTAAGGCCGCGGGCGTTCAGCTCGAGGAGGCGGCAGGCGCTGCCATTAGCCCGCGTGACTCCGCCCTTGACTCGCTGGAGCGCTGACTCTCAAAACTCTGGCTTTCCGAACTCTGAGGCGCCAAACCCTGACATTCGAACTCTGGGGCGCCAAACGTTGACATTGACAGGCCCGGCAACTTGCAAGCGTGTCCCCTCCCAAACTCTGACGCGCAAAGCTTTGGCTTTTCGAATTCTGGGGCGCCAAGCCCTGGCGTTCGAACTCTGAGTGAGGCGCCAGACGTTGACATTGACAGGCCTGGCCACTTGCAAACGTGTCCCCTCCCAAACTCTGACGCGCAAAACTCTGACCTTCCGAACTCTGAGGCGCCAAGCCCTGACACTCGAACTCTGAGGCGCCAAGCCCTGGCATTGGTTGCCGAGCTGGGAGACTTGTGAACGTCTCCAAAACCTTGACACGCAAACCCTTGCGACCCGTTGACGCGTTTGCAATCCTGGCGACCCAACCTTGACATGTGTGCCCTTTTTCGCCAACCTACTTGAGACTCAAAAGAAAACCCTGGCAGCACGGGTTCAAAGCCCTGAGATTTTGCGGTTGGCGGCGAGCCTTGTGACTTTCTGGCTTAACACCCTGGGAACCTTGGCCTTTGTTTCTGCTCCCCTTGAGATTCCTCTTGGTTCGCCTTAAAACCCTGACCACGGACCCCGATTGTTGTCGATTATTAATATTGAGGGAATTAGATCCAGACTTGCCTCACCTATCACCTAGGATGTACGTGTATCTAAGCAGACGACGCCTCCAGCGGATGCCCTTGCAAGAGATGCCACTGGAACTCCAAAGCCTATGGGCCTTTCTTTGATAATGCCCACTGGAGCAGAGTTAAGATGAGTCACTTTATTCAACAAGAATAGTCACGTTCTAGAAAAGGTGCTGCCATTTTGTCTCTACGGTGACCACGAAGGGCCACATCAGGGGCACGCACATGACAAAGGTACTTCCTAAAGCGAGCCCTTAGCCTAGTGCTTCTACAGCAAGATTGGTTATTTAATTATTGACTCACTCTCAGACTACTATACGAGACAGATACTTGTTATGCAGGTTCGTCATTCCTCGAGATTTGGCTACTAGAATTTTCGAGCGTGTCTTTACTTTGTTGTGTCTTTATGTTAGTAAAAACTAAATGCTGAGGCCACCCCCGCAGCTCCTCCTGATGTAGTAGGCGATGGTGACAACACCAAACACGAAGGCAAGGACAAGCTTTCTGACGATAGGACACCCGAGGAGGCAGTGGTGACGGGCAGTGGCGTCGGGAAATCCGAAGACGCAGTGGCGCAGAGCAGTGATGCTGATGAGAAACCCGGAGCAGGAGGTGCTGGTGTAGGAGGTCAGAAAGGGACGACTGGTGGTGCTACTCCTCATCTGATCGCCGATCCTAATCCTGATGATGGTGGTCCTCCGATTCTTGGCTCTGCAGATGGCGCGGCCGCTGGCAACGCTGCGGCGACTGACGGCCAGGAAGCGAAGGCCGCTCCTGCGGGAGGCGAAGGAGGAGCTGCCGGTGTTGTAGCTGCGGGAGGCAGTACTAGTGGGGATGGTGGGGAAAGTCAAACTGGTGGCGATGGTCCTGGTGCTTATGGCTTGAAGCATTTCACTTCGCCAACTTTTTTTTCACTTGGGAAGCAAGCAAGTACTTCTGTTGTAACTACTTACAGCAATTGGTAAATCTCATTTTTCACTTGGGAAGTAGTGTTCTAACTTACACTTGTTAGATATAATTCATTTGTATGAAAAGTCAATGGGTCCTAGACTTTAAGGTAGTGGCGAAAAGCAAGTAGAAGTTGTTGTTGACAAGCAAGGCGAAAGAGGAGGTGCCGACACGGGAGAGACGGGTGATCAAAAGGAACAGCGGGCCGCGAAAGTCGAAGGAGGGGGCTCTGAAGAGGAAGAGCAGAAGAAACGTGCTGAAGAGGCAGAGCAGGCCGCGGCGAGGGATTCCGAGGGAACTACACGCGCCGAAGAGGAAACGGAGGGCGCGCTTGCTAAAGCTGAGGGTGGGGACGCCGAAGAGGAGACAAAGGAGAAGGCCGACTCCGAGTCCGAGAGAGGAGCGGCCGACGAAGGGCTGCTCAAACAGGGGTTGAATTCCCTCGAGTTATGGATCCAAACTCTAACAGGGTGGCTTAATCGGCTGAGTGCCAACCCCTCGAAAATTACACT